CCTCCTCTCGCGATCCTCTCTCGCAAAAATCCCCTCCTCTCGCGATCCTCTCCGCTCTTTCTCTCGCGATCCCGCTCCAAGCTCTCCCTCTCTCGAACTCTCTCCGACTCCTTCTCCCTGTGCAGATCGGAGGTTACGCCATTTTGATCGGAAGCAAAGAACGGGTGCCCCGCTTGCTGTGTCAGACCGGAAGTAGCGACATTTCGATCGGAACCAGAGCAGGAGCTCGGCGGCTGTGAAGGTAGCTTTCTACCTTCCGTGCGTTTCTTCGGTTCCTTCTTGGCTGTCCGACATCGCTCCTCCGACGACCTCTCCGTCGGATCGGAAGTTAAACATTTTGATCGGACGGAGCAACGGGAGCTCGCTCCTTCGGCGTCCCCATTGCTGTTCGGCTTCGTTGCTTCGACGACTTTCCCTACCTGTCGGGACAGAAGTTACGGCATTTTGATCGGACGCAAGAACCAGGAGCTCACTCGCCTGTAAAGGAAACTTTCTCCTTTGTCGCCGCTCCTCTTCCCCAAGCCCGACGGCTTCCCCTGCTGTCGGATCGGAAGTTGCGACATTTTGAGCAGAAGCATCAACGGGAGCTCACTGCCCGTGAAGGTAACTTTCTGCCTTCCGAGCGCTTCTTCGACCAAATCCCGTAAATCAAAAAAAAAAAAAGATTTTTTATTTATGTTAATTTTAATTAACTATAATTAGTGTTAATTAATTTAGCTAATTATAATTTGATTATTTTTAATTATGATTAATTAAAAATAATTTATAATTAATTATGATTAATTAAATTTAGTCATAATCAATTATATTATTTTAATTAATTATTATTAATCATAATTAATTATAATTAATTAAACAATATTATTATTAATTATTTTCAATTATAATTAATTAACTTTAATCATAATTAGATATATTTAATTAAAATTAATTATTAATTTTAATTAACTATTATTAATTATAAGTAATTGTATTTAAATTTTCTAATCACAATTAATTATAATTAACAAAAGTTAATAAAAAAGAGAGACTCATACCTCAACTTGCATGCCAACACTGCTGACACAGACATTGACTTAGACAACAGCACTACCAACAACCCACTATACAAAGGTATAATGTTCCAAATCTAGTTCTTGACGCGGGTGACGCGCCTGTGGACCCCCTATACACACTCTTGTAGCACAGTAGGGGGAATCAGTGCGACATATGCGACGAGGCGGGTAGGCCCTATACATGCTCTTATAGCATGGTGGGGACAACCTTAAGTACCTGTACGCCTCTGTGCCTGCGGGGAAAGAAAACTCTGCATTTTATCAGGTACCTTCAAGATTCATACACGCTCTTGTAGCATAGTGGGAATGAAGATTATGACTGTGGTAGGTGTCCGTAGACACCTACCATACACACTTTTGTAATGTGGTGAGAAGGCTCAGTTATGTAGGACGACACTACTTGCAATGGTTTTTTTAAGAGCTTGCACAACTTATTGATTAGAGAAATAACAAATAGAACTATTAGCAAATAAAACGATGAATCAAAACGTAAGAGCGGTCACTTTCGTTTCGGCTAAGTTGCATAACAAGATATTTGAACCATCAAAATATTGTAGGAAAATAATATCATGTAAAATAGTAGCTTTCAACAAAAATCCTAATCTAACAATAAGATTTAGAAAACAATAAAGTGCACTCAATTCCCTACATTTACTAAGCTCGGAAAAATCAGGCAAATGCGTCCTTTATGACTACAATCAAATCACAAGAAAGGATTAGACTTTAAGAAATATAAGAAAAAGGGAAATTAGAAAACCTTCGTTAAGGATCTGTTGTAATCCTACACTCGACGGTTTCAAGTTGTTCTTCAGTAGCCTCGACCAAGGTATCCAGGATGCGCTCTACGTACTCTTCTACGGTGTGGTCAATACGCGGGTTGACATCGAAGAAGGTTGAATGCAAGATGCACACGAACCCTTGCTCGTCATAGGAGAGGTCGTAGTCAATGTCTAGACCAGCCATGCATTGGCTTTGTGTATGTGGTGGTATCGACGGCGCCTTCAAAACTCCTAGATGTCTTGAGAGAAGAGGGATCCTCACAATAAGTAAGAGATAAGGAGGGGAGAGGTTTCGGCCAAAGAGGGGGGAGCCACACGTGGAGTTAGGATTAGGTTGATGGGGATATTTAAATTCAAAAATATGAAATAAATTTCAGATTTTAAAATTAAGAGGAGAAAATTAGGAGGGAAATTTAATTTCCCTAAATTGGGGAGGGGAATTAATGAGAAAGAGAGGGAGTGGAGAGAGAGAGGGTGGGTAGAGAGAGGGGTTGGCGGCATTATGAGGGATGGGGATGGAGATTTATTTCCTAAATCAACTATTTCGTTTTGGAAATAAATTAGGAGTTATGTGTTTTAGTAAATTCAACCAAGGAGGTTATGTGTTTGGAAATATTTACAAAGGTAGGGAATTGGAATTAGAAAAGAATCCCAATCTCAACCTCAAGGGGGGTTGGCGGCATTGATGGCTAGGGGGAGCAATTAATGGGAGAGATTGAGGGCTTCTTAAATTGGGTTTAAAAAATAGGAAACTATTAATTAAATCCAATTCAAATTTAAAATTCAAATAGATTTAATTTATGAACTTTCCTAAAATAGATTTGATAATTTATGAAAGATTTTGAATTTCAAATTGAACAAATTTGAATTCAAAATTTGTCCCAAATTATTTCAATCCCAATTAGGCAATGGAAGCAATGGGAAAGGGGATTTGGGGCTGGCGTGTGGATGGGCTCGGGTATGGGGTCGGCGGCTAGGTGGGAAATTGGTGGAGTTTGGTCAAGTGAAGGAGAAAGGCTTGGGGAGGGAGAGAAATCGTGGATGTGATGTTGGCTGGGGTGGTGGTGGAAGGAGAAAGGAAGAGGTACGGAATAGAACCACGAACCCGACTCGTCTAGGTTGGTGGGTGTGCGCAATTCTCCCTCTCCTAGGGATCTCTCTTCGATTTCTCAAGCTCTCACAAAAACTCATGCAAGGGGAAGAAAATATTTTAATCAATCATTCATTCATTAACTTGAAAAGAAGAACAAGGGACTATAAATAGCCTCTTACAATGAATCACAACATAAAAGGACAACAATGCCCCTAGGGCTTACATATGGCCTCCCTT